TGGGGGCGGGGGGGGGTTTGGGGGGGTTTTTTTTCCCCCTTTTGGAGAAAAAAAAGGGGGTTTTCTCTTTTTTGGGGGGGGGGGGGGGGTTTTTTTCTTTTTTTGGGTTTTGGGGGGGGGTGCCCCCCTTTTTTGGGGTTAGAAAGGAGAGGTTTTCTTTTTTTTTTTGGGGGAGGGGGGGGGACCCTTTTTTTTTTCCCCCCCCTTTGTTGCCCTTTTAAAAAAAAGGGGGTTTTTTTTTCCCGGGGGGGGCGGGGTTTAAAAAACCCCCCCCCCCCCCCCCCCCCTCTTTTTGAAAAGGGGGGGGGGGTCAATGGTCAAATGATTAGGGCAACCCAAAAAGGGGTCCCCCCCCCCCCCCCCCCCCAAGCCGCACGCCGTGGAGATGCACCCAGCCAGCTCCAGCAGAGTATTAGTATTTGTTTAGTTTATGCTTGGTATAAACTAGTAAAGCTTGAAGGTTGCGTCTTCCTCAGCAGTGCATTGTAACAGCTTGCGTAACAGCTTGCATGCTACTCCTGTGTGTTTTCCCTTCATGAACAAGCGGTCGGCATGATCAGAGGTGTACGTGTTGCTGGGTATTTATCATGATGCAGATTGTACAGATTGCGCAGGTCGTGACTGCAGCTAGCTGATCTTTTTGGTGACGTAACCAGCGCCCTCTATGTACCACTTTATTTTTCACGAATGCGCGAGTGGTGCGCCAATTCACAGCTGGGATAGCCTTCGACGGGTCTACTCAACCCCGCCTTTGCCTCCCTGGGAGGTTACCGTCCAAGCCGGCCATACTATACGGCCGTCTCTCCCTCCTCTTGTGTTTCTGTGCTTATACCCTTGTGTGCTCTCTTGCATCACCTCTCTCTCCCGACTGGTACATACAACCCGGTGACGTTGTGTCTCGCGTGGTTGGGCAACCAAAAGGTGCGGACTAGGGGAGCGGTCCGGGGCACTGCTGCTTCACGTGGTGGGCGAGAAGCCGGGGTTGGAGGTGGACGCCTGCGACGGAAACGCGTTCGGGGAAGAGATCGAAACCAAGGTGAAGTGTTGTTGTGGACCGGATGGTTTCCGGATCATGGCAGCGACCGTCAGCATCGGGTTTTACCGTAAGGACGACAGGGATTGCACCGGTTCCGAGAGATGGCACCACCGGGTTGCGCGACAAAAGCAGGCGGGATGGTTTCATTGCATTTACGCACCGGGGTTGGAGAGATCTCGCCGGTTGGGGAGATGGCACCGGGGTGCCAAAAAAGGCAACAAGAAATATTTATCGCACCCGGTGCCATCTCTCGAATCCGTACGGTGCTCCTGCCTGCCACGATTGAGGGTGTCACCTGGACTTTTATCGAAAAAGAGGGTTGACAAATGTTTGGCATTTGTGGCAGTGCGACATCGTGCACCGCCTACTGCGGTGATGCACTGGGGCTGGACGCGCGGAGGGTCTTGTGCGATAAACGAAAACCGTTTCCTTGGGACTGTCCTCTCTCCCACACTCCCGTAAACGTGTTATGGGGGTCGTGTTTTGTCCACACACTTTTGTTGGCTTAGTTGGCTTGTGACCACGGAAGGATTGCGCGTCAGTTGGACCAGTACCGACGGACTTTAGAAAGTACTGAGTGGAGACCGGAACGGTTTTTTAATGTGAAGACAACAACAACAACAACACTTTAAGCGTACTACCGCCGTACCGGTGCCAAGGTTTGCCCTACATTTTTGTCGTTGTTCTTGACCCTCCCTTTGTGTTCCTCTTCATCGCACGACTAACAAACGATTTTCAACACGTCGTGAGGCTGCTGTCCTTGCATGCCATGCCCGTGCTCGCATGTCTTCATGTTTTCCACCTTCCCGGTGTGTGTTGCTGTTCCTTCCGACCCGTCGACCCAACACGCTCACCTCACTCAGGCCCTCAACCCCAACCCCCCCTAACACTATTCCACGGTGCCCCCCCCCCCCCCTTTACTGGTGTCGATTCTCGTGTCAATGTTTGCCGCTGATTGGTCAGCTCGCGGCGGCACAGAAGGGGGCCCGCGGAATACTGTCTGGGAGTGTGGAGTGCCGACGCACCACAGTGCACCTGCTGGGAGAGGCCGGTGCGGGCAAGAGCACGCTCAAGGAGACCTTGGGGAGGGGGTACTTCTCCAGTTTTTTCAATGTGCGTTCCGTCAGTTTGTGGATCGCGGGTTCTTGGCTACTATGGCGATAAGGCTACGCCTATCTCCAAGGATAACGTGTTTTTGTTGTTGTTGTTGTGGTTGTGGTTGCTGTTGTTGCTACAAGTTGTATCGTTGTTGTCCATGCACCAGAAGCACCATTCTAGCCCTATCCCTCGACAGCCACAGAAAGAGGATCCTCCTCCGCACTACCTTGTACCCAACGCGGCTCACACTCAATGACGCTTGATCTTATTACGACATGACACCCGTCACAAACAAATGTTCAACGTGTGCGCTTGCTCCTTCTTGCCCCAAACCTGCTCTTTTTCTGATAAAAAACACCACATTTCTGTTGTGAAATGTAGAGGTATTGACTATTGTGGTGTTGGCGCTTGCATCCGAATGGCCCTTTTAGCTTCAAACGTTATGGTAGTGGGCTTGGGATCAAGCTCGGGCGACCACACCCCCGAGCCGTGTGCTATTCACACTATCACACTATCACACTGTCACACTTTTCACACTACATGAAGCTAGATCTCATGACGACATGCCCATGACTATGCTCCACACGTTTCTGCTCGAGCACGCAGACCAGCCTAGAGAACGCCCCGGACAGAGGAGCGGAGGACCCCTTCCAGAGGACTCTGGGGGTCACGAGCGACACCCTGGCCCTCGGCGCCGGCTCGGCCCCTATCCTGGTGCGGGATCACGGAGGCCTGCGGCGGTTCAGGGGGGTGGGTGCGGTAGACGGCGGGCTGGCGTGCCCCTCGTCGGTGTACGTGGTGGTGGTGAGCCTGACGGTGGACAAGGCGGAGTCCAAGCGGCAGATCAAGCACTGGTGAGAGACTTGTTTTTTTTGGCTTTCTGTATGGTTATAATGGTGCTGTTGCGCTCCCTCCAGCACGCGTGCCCCATGCCATACCATTTTTGGCGCCGCTGTGTGTCTTTTTTTTGTTGTTCCGATGTTTGGTTTTGTTATTCCAGTTGGTTCCTCAACCAATGCATGCACTTGTTCCTCAACCGATGCATGCAGTTGGTTCATCCTGTGTCACTTGCCAGAATCGAACCTCTCTGGTGGTTCCGTTGCACATGACGCACGATCAATACTGTACTGTACTGTATGAATGTTTTTTTTTGTGGCGGCCAACGCCAACACAGGCTGAGGCTAGTCCAGACCGTCGGGCCTTCAAGCGGGTCGGTCATCGTGCTCGTGGGGTCCAGAGCGGACGAGCTTGGATCGGTGGGGCAGGACTACCTCCAGAAACTCTGGGACCGAACCCGTGAGGTGCGACCGCGTCAGCCGCACTACACCACACCATACCACACCACACCATAGCACAGCACAGCCCGGCACACCGGTTTAATCACCCCTCCTTTCATCGGAAACCTTCACTTGCATTTCGAAGTCGTACAGGTCCATGGCAGAGCTTAAGTTTCGAGAAACGCCTTTGTTTTGCTCTGTGTACAGAGGGATGTTTGTATATGTATCTCTCTTCTAACTGTACGTCATGAACTACCCCACGGTTCCCCAAGCTACTTGTTTAGTTGAATGAGTTGACTTTCCACAACAAAATCGAAGGTTGCTCCGGTAGGTGAAGTTGTCCTGAGTAAAGACATAGTAGTCAGGGCCGCTCTTTGGCGTGCATGCGGTAAGTAGAACTAGACCATCATCTCGTACTACGTATGGCTGCCTGGTGGTGGATTTTTCATCGCAATTTCTCCGCTCTGGACAACAAAACACACTTTATTGGACTGCAGCAACACACATCAATGCCTTGCTCCTACGTAGACAAAGCTTGCAGTACGCTCTGTGCTTTTTTTCTAACCATGCTTCTGTGTGAATCTTTTTCTTACCATGCCTACAACAGTACCCTTGATGAACTTTTTTTTTCTGCCAATACTGCTGTTTTGACGTTATTGATAGGACCTGACCCTTGAGGAACTGAGATCCGGGCTGGACGCTTCTCTCCCTACCTTTGCGGGATGCCTTGCGATGGACTGCAGGAAAGCGGGCAACGCCAATGTCGCCCGCCTTAGAGAGGTAGGTGCAGCAGTTATCTACCTTGTTTGTTGTGGAATCCTGTACTCATGGCGTGTGTGTTGTTGACTTGTGCTATTTTATTTATTTGGCGCAGATAGCGATGGTACTTTAGCCTGAGTACCAGCACGGCCGAGGTTCTTGGGGCATGCGTGTGCCGTCTGCTGCTTGTCGGGAGATTCCTTCCTTCACAGGAGTTGTTGACGTGTTGCGTTCAAGTGTTGATTGATGCGACTTTGGGTCTGCGGGGTACGTGTTACCGGTCAGTTCGTTGTTGTTGTTGATGTTGGCAGGCCAGTACTGTATGACTGCATGACGTTAGTAGAAGTTTGTGTCGAGATCAGAAGCAACAGAAGAAAGCAGCGCATGTGTGTCCAACATCCAACACGACAGCAGCACCAGCACCAGCACCAGCAGCAACAACAACAACAGCTGTAGCAGAACACGTTGCGCGTTGTTGTTTGATTCAGGCTATTGCCCACGCGGACAAGCTGTTCGGGCAGGAGGGCGAGGGCTGGGCTGCGCTGCCTCTATACCCAAGCCTCGCCCGGAGAGTCGAAAGATGGTCAGGAGAAGGGTCCACTTTGGTACGATGGCCCAAGTTCGCCACCGCCGTACAGCGACAGGTGACGATCATCAGACTCGATTGCGTGTCATGGTCTCAAAAGCTTGTGTGTCTTGTTGGTGGTTGCAGTCCGGTTTGGGTTAACACCTTCTTGTCTCTACGACACGGGCACGGTCGTTCTGCAGCTATCGTCTATCGTTCACTCTACTCTCTGCTACGACCCAAACCAACCGACCCTCTTTCCCGCCTACGCCCGAAGACCCCCTACTGCTCGTGCTACCTCCCTGTGGGTAGTGGTCGGCGTCAGCGCACGCGCCCCTCGCTTGCGTCCACCCTACCCTCCTCCAGAACTCTAACCGCTGAGATGACGACTCTCGTGCTCATGCTGTCGCCGACTCCAACGAAACTAAACCTACTGATCGCTCCGTCGCCGCGGCTCCACTCGCCACCTGCATGTGCCTCCCCCCCCCCCCCCCTCTCCCAGCTGTGCTCGCGGGCATCGGAAGCGGTGTGCGCCAACCTCGCCCGCTCGTTAGCACGGGAGGGTCGGATATTGCTCAGGGGCATAGCCGGGGGCGGGGAGGTGGAGCGCGGGAAGGGCTGGGTGGTGCTGCGGCCGAGCTTTTTCCTGCATCACATCGTGGGAGGCGTTTTCGGCAGCGCCGAGGCCAGGGATGGGGGGGGGGTGGTTTCTGCGGCTGGCCGTGTGCGCATCGGTTCTCGGGTAAGCGAAATCTTTGTACTATAGCTTTCAGCCGAGGTCCAGGGCGGGTGTGTGCCAGGTCGATTCACCCGCCCCCATCGCGGGCACATAGTAGTTCGTAAGTATTAAACAAGTTGGGGTATCCTGTGCCGAGAGATTTCCTCCGCCCTGTAACCGGCCACCGACCATATGGAGGCACCCCGACCCATGGAGGGGTCCTGGCTGTGCTGAGTATGTGCAGGTGTTCTTTAAGTAGACATCGCGGACAGCACAGGCAGGCAGGTGCCACGCCGTGGCGGCCGTGCTTTTGTAGGGCACCGCTGCGGATGCTGCTACTGCTGTGGCTGGAGTGCACCCCTGCATGCTGCCGCAAAGCCCCCTCAGCCGTTTCTGTGCAACAAGCCGCCACGGCCTCAGGCGTGATAGTGATACTTTTTTTTACAGGGATAACTTGTTTTTTGTCGTAGCATGGCGATTAACTACGCGATTGTCTCTCCGATGTTACTGTGTTCACGCCAGGGGATTGGGCTCTGTGCAGCCGGATACCCTGGTGCAGGCGCTTATCGACGGGTACTTCTGCGCCGAGCTGCCTCCGGACGACAAGGCGTTGGGCGCGTCTACCCGAGCAGGGGTGGTAGACAACATGACTACCGGCAGCGGCGGCGGCGGCGGCGGCAGCAGCAGCAGCAGCAGCGTCTTCGTAGATAGCTCTCCCTCGGCGGCCCTCCGGGGAGGTGCTCCAGAGAACCGCGGCGGGTTCGAAGAAGACAGCAGCGAGCGTCACCTTCCCGTGGCACGGCCAATAGGATCACTGCCATCAACGGCAACGACGGCAGCAGCAGTAGCACGGCCATCGGTGGCAGTACCCCCGGGGGCGGTGGCGGCAAGCTTTGGTACGTACGACGACGGGCGGCGACGACCGAGCGACAAGGTGGAGCGCAAGCACGTTATCTCGGTCTCGACTGCTGCTGCTGCTGCTGCTGCCGCCGGTGGCGGCTCCTCCTCCTCCTCTTCGAGCTCTCCCCGAACACCGGCCGCCGCCGGGGCGGGGGCGCCGTCCAATCAGGCCTTGGGGGGGGCTTCGTCATCGCTGGCGGCAGAGGTGCTTGCTGCCGCGGAAGCCAATGGTGCAGCGGCAGATGCGTCCTCCCGCAAGCCCAGCGCGGAGACGGAGCCTGGGGCGGTTGCGCGGAGGAAGTCATCGGAGAGATGGCGAGCGCTCGGCTTGAGGAAGGAGTCTTGGGCGAAGCTGGAGCGGAGGCGGTTGTTGTTTCCGGCCCTTCTGCCGCCATCGGAGGCGATTTCGAGGAGGGAGTGGGCGCGTAGGTGGAACACGGAGGCGTGCGTGTGCGGGAGGAGGGTCGCGTGCCGATCTCCGATGCTGCTGCCCGGGCTTTTTCACATGCTGCAATCGCTTCTCGCTACCAGGTGATGCAGGAAAGGTTGAGACAGGCATGTCTTGTGTGCAGGCGTTCGTCCCTAGCGCCCCTGGCGAGCTGTGCGTCACGTAGACCTGCTGCTGCATCGTTGTTGTCGTTTGTTGTGCATACTGATAGGTTGCTGGAATCACGGCGCACGCGGGGATTTGCCTGTTCCGAACGAAGTATTTTGGATGTTGCCTTTGTCACTGCTCGCGGTTCACTCGCGCGTCTATCAGGCCATGCCGCGCTGTGCAAGGTATCAACCTTGCCCAACAGCATATTCGACTGGTATTTTACCTACTTTCACCGTAATCATAGTCAGGCATCGATACTACCCCCCCCCAATTCATCAGACTGCACAACAATCGGTACCAATACCCATCACCATGTTGCGGCTGTCGTCCTGCTTAGGTACCCCGGGAGAGTGTCATTGCGCGATCGCTACGCAGAGGTGTCACTGGACGGGTGGGACACTACCACCGGAGGGATCATGTTACCGGCAGGGGATGACGGAGGAAGGGGGGGGTGTGACGAGGGGGGCACCGCAGATGCGGCGAGTTCGAGCACGACGACGATCACCGCGGCGGTGGAGCTGGTGGAGAGCGCTTTGCCGGGGGGGGATATGCTCGACCTGACCGTTACGTCTGGTGATCGAGAGGTAAAACCGGTCTTCCTCGAGAGCAGATGATTGTCTTGTTTTGCCTTGACCATGACGCGGTGTGGGGGCGGCGGTGAATCTCTTGCTTTTTTTTGGGGGGGGGAGGGGGGGGGGGGGGGGGGGTACTCATTTGTTGCTTGCCTTAATCATTTGACCATTGACCACGCGTCCCTTTCGAAACGGAGCACCGTTCCTACCCCTACTAAAAACACCACCAACATTTGGGAGCTCTTTACGTTTCTGCCACAAACTACATAAAAAATTCTTGCACATCTTATCCCCGTCCTCTAGGGCCTCTTGTGCCCACCATCTATCCCCAATTATCGCGATCGTTTTTTCGCTGTTGTCTAATTTACCAAACTTGTCCATTTCACACCCTCTCTGTCTCATTTCCTCCTCGAGATCCTCTCTTTCCTTCCTGTACAACTCACACTCCCCAACTATGTGGGGTCTACTCTCCTCCGATTGGGGGGGTGATGTTCCGGTCAAGTTGTACTATAATGATCCCTGCCGGAAACGAGAATTTATGTCCCTGACCCCGTCAAGGGGAGTAGATGCGCGCCGCCTTGTTTTTTTTTTTTGTCTTGGCCCCCCCCTGCGTCGCTTGTGTTGCCTAGAACAGAGCGCAACGGCTTTGCTAGAATCGTTGGTGGAATTCTCCATTCTTGCTTTTCCAAGTTTCCAAGTTTCCTCTCACGATACGACCCTGGTGTTTTGTCGAGCACCTCTGTATCTATCTTGTGCTGGCTCCGGCTGGAATAGAGGCGGCTTTCCGCCGGTCGCAAGCTTCCAAGCGAATATACGTGGGGCCTGAAAGGTTAAACTCTGAGCCCGATCGATCTTTCTGCCACGCCCACCAGAACATCGCTCGTGTGTTGCATGTTGCCCTTTCTCTCGTTTTTCCTTCTTGGGCAGTCATGCTTACTGGCCGTTCTGGGGCTTCGGGTGATCGTCGAGCAGGTGCTCTGCGAGGTGAGCTACACGCACCCACCCACTCCGGGTTGAGACTTGCCGTCTTGGCCTATAATAGCTAGGCCTGGACTTCACTTTGGCCTGGCGAGCCTGCCTGCTTGCTTTCGCCCAAACCGGAGTCAAGCGACCAAGCTTGTTCGGTTAAAGTTGGAAGGACGGGAGGTTTGTCGTCTGTCACTCGACTTGCAAAGAAACCTGTCGAGACCAGTGAACGTGTCGCCGTACATGGGCTCCCTGCAGCGGTGCCAGTACCCTGTGGTAGAATGGGTTGGTGACGATACGGTAGTGGCGTGGAGTCGGGGAATGTCCTCCTTTTGTCCAGGTCTATAAATAGGTAGCGACGGTGGCAGGCTGCATATCAGCGACCTTCGGCGACCGTAGCTCTATCGGTGGTGTTGATACTGCGGCGACTTAATGTCACGTGATCCGCGAAATATTCAGAAATATCTTACCTTCCTCCATGCAACTAGAAGCGCACCCTGTGGTAGCTGAGTCGTGGTAACACCCGGCTTCGCAGCATTCCGAGATCAAACAGGTCAGACCCTGTCGCCGCTCAACGAAAATCAGCAGTCGGTAGTGCCAGCACTCACTGCTGTTGTTGTTGATGCCGCGAACCCTGACGAAAGGCAGGCATGGCTGCTGTCTCGCAGCCTGCCTTTAGCACGCGTGTTGTTTTTATCTGTTTCATGAGGGTGCTGCTGCCGCCGCCGCTGCTCTCGTTTGTCGGCTACAACAGGCGCCCAGCGTTGCTGTTGAAGACAGGGCGATCGCGGCGGCATCGATCAGGGATGGGAGGCCGCCCAACGAGAGGCTTACCCTGGCCATGTCGGAAGTCCGTCAAAGCCGCACAGATGTGAGTGGGCAGCGGCTGGAGCGCCACGATGATGACTTGTTCAACTTGTTGATCGCCTTCCCTAAATACTTCGGAGTAGAAAACTCTCGTTAAAGTAAATCATGTCATGAAAGGTGTCGTGATTGGCGGTGGTCGTGGTGTGTCAATTGTTATTGTGTCGATCCTCGGGTGGTTGTGCCCCGCGGCATAGTCGTCATAGTCGTCGCCTGCGGCGGCCTATGTACCGACGGCGTAGCGGCACACCGCAGGGTTGGCCTGAGACAAGCGTCTCATCACACGGCGGCAACAGACTTGTGATCGTCCATCACGTTCACCGTCCCCTACCTTGTTGACAGATCATCCATCCAACAGTTATGTTTCCCATGTTTTTCCCGATCCCGACCAACCAACAGGGACTGAAAGAGTGTTTCTTCGGAGACAACACTCTCCCGGAGCCACTGTCAGACCTTCTCTGGGAGGGTCCGGAAGAGTGTGCTCTTGACGAGGCTGGCCGCATGATGGTGTCAACGCCGTCGTGGAAGTCCCCGCTCGCTGGCAGCGGCAACGCCCCCGCCGCCGCTCCCTCCGCATCGACATCATCAGCGTCCCCGCCCTCAGGAATGACTCGGAAGCTTTCCGTTACGGCGGCGGCGGCTGCTGTGGTGGCGAACCCTTTCGCGGGAGGGCCTTCTCGCAAGAAGAAGGCTAGTGCCGCTGGTGGTGGCGGCGGCGGCGGCGGCGGCGGCGGTGGTGGTGGTGGTGGAGGCGTAGCCGCTACCGCGGCCACGGCTCGAAGGAACCCGTTCGATCCAGTCGTGGCGGCGGCGCCGGCAAGAAAAGCTGCGGCCGTACCAGCAGCAGCAGCAGGGAAGCAGCAAGCACCGCCGTCTTCGAACCCCTTCGCAGCAGCAGTAGCAGCAGCAGCCCCCGCCGCTGAAGTAGTCGCGGAAGCAACAGCCGTGCCCGAACAGCCCGCTATCACCAAGCCCGAGAAGACGTCCAGTCAGCAAGACGCGGCGCCGACGTCTGGCAAGAAGGCCGAGGAGGAGGGCGAGGGCCGGCCTCTGATGCCCACGGCCAACGGGCAGCCGGCGGTGGTTTGTGACCGTCCTGCCGGCGGAGAGGAGCGGGGCTACGGCGAGACGTTGTTGGCGACGGTTACGCTGCCTTCGCACGGCGGGGATGGTGACCGTTCATCCCCTCCCGATCTCGCTGGACCCGACAGCAGTGCCGATGTGCCAACGAAAGGGGCCTCCGCAAATGATAGAATAGGGGCGGGCTCCGCGACGGACAGAATAAACAGGACCGGGACGGCCTTTTCCAGCTCTGGTGCCCGGAGGAGCCCTGGAGCGGCGTTTTCCTTCGAAGCGGACGTGTTCCGAGACGCCGGTGTTATGTTCGGGGCGCATGTCGGCGGGAAGTCGTACCGGCTCGGCAGGCAGAGGGTCGAGGTGGTGCTGCGAGAGCCCGGGGGCCTGAGGCTGGGCATCTGGCGCCCCCCCGTGGACGAGAGGGAGGAGCGGGAGCGGGAGAAGGACAAGGGCAAGGCGGCCTCCGAGCTGGTGTCGGAGCACCTGTCGCTTTCAGAGGACGGGTGAGGGGGGTTTAGGGCTTGCCTTGTGGTATACGTCACGTTTGCTGCTGTCTCGTCCGCTGGTGGTGGCGCTGCCGCACAGCTATTCCTGGCGTCCGCTAAGCTAAGTTTTTTTTTTCTTGTGTTTGCCTGCCTCGGAGGTTACCGTTACCATCATCTTGCCGTCCATACTACCCGGCCGTCTCCTCTTCTTTGGTGTTGGAAGAACAGGACGTTGAATTGGGGAGATGCCAAGACAAGGTACTCTGGGGAATTGAGCGGACTGCGTGATGAACGGAAACGGTGTGGTTCTACCACGATTCTTGCGATGTAAATGACACCAAAGGTGTACCTCTTAGGGGTAGCCATTTTCAATATTTGTACCGGATCTGCATCGCAGAGTGCAGCAGCGGTGCAACGGCGGTGTACTCCATCCATGGTCGGCACCAGCCGCTAAACGAGCAGTGGTCATGTGGCGTGAATGCCAAGCGTTAGTAAGACTGACTCTGACTCTGATTCTTGTACTCCTGGTGTGGACGACAACTCATGCGTAGCAACACGCCAGCCATGCCGTCACGCTCTGCAGTCCAACATCACCAGGACCGCGAACTAGCTCCCTATTGTACTGTAGCACGACTTTTCTATGACCACGCCCACGCCTTCTCTTCTCCCACGCCGGACCAAATGCTTGCAGCAACCACGAGTTTAACGTGTTCCTGTCCGGCGCGAACGAGAACGACGGCGGCGATGACGTTGGCGGTACCGAGGACACCGGCAGTAGTGGTAAGGGGGCCGACGGCATCGCCAAAGGGGGGCTCGCAGATGGCGGCCCAAGAAGAAGAGGTAGCAGCACTGCTGGACTTGCCAGCCCTACCTCGGAACCCGACGCCAGACGAAGCCCTACCAGAAAGAGCCCCACTCCTTCCCCTCGCGGAAGAGACGTGAGCAGGCTGTTGACGGAGCGTCCGGCGGTGGTGGAGGAAGTCCTGCACGGAGACGTTGTCTCCGGCTTCAACTGCTCGGGATCGAACCAGGGCTTCGGGGTGGTGGGGTGCGTGGTGGCGTCGATCTCGAGGGAGCCTTTCCCGGACACGGAAGTGTCTCCAAAGGTGCGACAGAAAGCAAGCGAATAAATACAGCAGTGGCCCGTCGGTCAAGGGCACCATTTTTGCGGAGACTTCCCCCCCGGTTAAGGACATACCATTTTTTTTTGTCACAAGCATGATTCCCCGCGGAAAGTTAAACGCGAGGGGTGGTATCAATCTTAAGGACCCCTTTTTCCCCGGCTTGATAGGACGCATGTTTTAACGAAAAACCGCATGTGTCGTTAACCGAGGGACGACTGAAATAGGGTACTGTAGTAGTAGTAGTAGTAGTAGTTGGTGGTGGTGTTGCGCGAGTCTGGTGGTTATCGTTGTTCGTCTTGTTTGTGCTGGTGCTGGCAGCTTGCGCATGCTGGGGTGGGTGCGCCAGGCAGTCTTGACCAAGTCGGCGAATGTTTCAGCGAATGCTTCATCGCAAGGATATACTTCGGCCAGGCAGTCTTGACCAAGTCGGCGAATGTTTCAGCGAATGCTTCATCGCAAGGATATACTTCGAAGTATAGTGGAACGATGCCAGGTTATCGTGTGAATGTGAATGTTTCCCGAGGAGTTGTGCGTGCTTTCATGAATACTCTAGGACAGCACAACGGAACAGAGTCCTAATGTCCAATTGCTGCAAGATGAAGCGTCACATGTGGCGCACACTACGCCCATCGTTTCTGAGGTCTGTTTTTTTGGGCGACGGTGTGACGTGCTGCCAAGGAGCACTCCGGAAAAGCAGCGTTCGGCATCGTCCCCGCCCCTCCTCGTCATTGTCAACTTTGATCTGCGTAGGAAGGTCGTCCAAGGGGATCAGGGGTATGGGTATGCGTGGTACACCATGCTGCCTCGTGGATTCATGTACCGGAACCCCTGAACGTATCTGCCACTGCCTTTTCTTTCTTCGTGCATGAACGACGCGGAAAAATGATTGGCTTTCCTCTTGGGGATGGAACATAATATATGTATTCCTCGTGCGATTTCTCCATTTCCTGTCAAAGACGGACCTGGTTCTTGCTCCCGTACTCTGTTTCCGTACATGCCTGTTTTGTTTTGTTTTGGCCTGTGACCATGAGCGTCCTGTGTTTCACTGTCTCTCTTTGTTTGGACCTGTAACCATAAAACGTCCCGTACTTCCCTGTCTCTTTTGTTTAGACCTGTAACCGTAAGCGTCCCGTGTTCCCCTGTCTCTTTTTTGTTTTGACCTCAAGATGTTGAGCTTCGAAGAGGCACGGACCGCCCTGGCGTCTTCTGAGTACCCTCTGTTCGTGCAGCTCTGCCGCCCGCCCCTGGTGTTCAGCACGGAGCCGGAGTACCCCGCGGTGAAGCTTCTGTCTAACCTCGTCTTGACCAACCGTGCCATGGAAAAGGTCGATGGAGAGTTCAGGTGATGGCCTGTCTGATACATCACCACCGCCACTGCTGTGGTATATTAATACTGCCGTACCCACCATTCATGTTTTTTTTTTTGGGGGGGGGGATAGTCTTTGTTGTCTTTGTGTCAGAGTGGGTTGATATTGTCTATGCAGTTCACCTGCAGTTTTTACGTGTAGCCCCTCCCTGATTCTATGCACTTCCTTGAAGCTTCGCGTGTAAGACAATATGGCATTGCCGTTCGACAGCCGCACACGTATCCGCGTCCGGTCCGGGCCATAGAGAAAGAAAAAAACAGATCGGGTGATGACTGCCCACAGCAGCAGTCATCATTACCGTAAGGTATGGAAGCATGGAGAGGGAATACTACTCCGGTCACGTTGTGCGCCCTTGTCCAGCCAATCACACCGCTTCAGGTTGGGGGATGCCACCGTATAAGCCGAGAACGTATTTACTGTTTTTCATGTCGATGGTGCAGGTCGTCCCGAGCATTGGACGTTGCTGCTCTTCTCCAAAGTCACCCCGGTGTCTATCCGCTGTATGAAAAAAAAACACTCCTGCATTTACAGCCCGTCCTCTCGTTGACCGTTTTGTGTGTTTTTATTGCTGTTGTGTGTTTTCTGTCGTGGCCTTTTCCTCTGCTTTCTCTCTCGTGTTGTTGTTGTCTTCACATTAAAAACCGTTCCGATATCTCTACATATGCACCTTCAGCTGTCATTACTGATCTATCACTTGACGCGGTCGATTCCCGTGGTCACAGGCTAGCTTTTCTCTCGTGTGGGTTCACGTATTTTATCCGATTCCCCTGTGCGTGGTGCTGCGAGCGTGTTGCAGGTGTGGGACCTTGATCTCCGAAGACGGGAGCTCTCGCTGGCTGCTCTCAACAACAGCCGTCCCTGCCTCCATACCAGACCTGGGCACCAAGATGGAAGTGAACCTGTTGGACTATCACGTGGTCGGCTTGTACCTTCTCACGTCAGAGGAGGTGCGTCGCTTCGGCACTAATGTTCTCGCGGTTGGGTGGCGTTTGGTTATGTGTCCAGATACCGTAGGTGACATGACACAAGATACCACACCCTGTAGGACCGGTTTTCAAAGCTTGTTTACTCTTCAGCGAAAACAATGGCACTGCCGAACGTGACGGTGGTTGGAGCGGTCTCATCGACAGCTTTCCGAAAAGGTGTAGCTTGATCTGGAGATTATCTCTCGTCGTGAAGTAATCGAGCTTTGAGAATCGGTCCAGGGGGTGTGATATCTGACGTCATGTCACCGACGGTAGATCCTATCCTCTGATTTTCGACCGGGCGGCGTGCAGCAGTATTGATGATAAGGCTGCGTGTCGGTGGGATGATCAGCCCACCCAGCCGCGGGCCCGCTTGCTGGACGGCATCATCCACCACGCCGTAGGTACATTTTGATGTCTCATATTCCCGCACCGTTGTACTTGTATGTATCTAACAACCTACATATCGGCGGGCCGTTTTGACATGTTGGGACCCGCCAGGCAATGTCCCTGCTGAGATACCACCCTAGCCAAGATGTTCTCCTGTTCGTGCACGGCTTCAACACGACGTTCAACTACGGGATCCGAGCCAGTGCGGTGAAGGGGCGCGCTCTGAGGAAGCCGCTGATGGTGTGCCTGGCGTGGCCGTCGAACCCCCCCGGGGAGGGTGCGGGGTGGCTCATTAAGCGGGTGCGTTGTTGCCGTGGTTGTTGTTGTTGTTGTTGTTGTTGTTGTTGTTGTTGTTGTTGTTGTTGTTTATTGTTGTTTGGACATAGCGGCAGCAAGTAGAGTTAGGGATGTTACTGCTGCTGTTTGGAAGATTTTTGATACCAATACGCTGGTTCTGCGCCCGTACCCTGATGGCGAGTTTGGTGCGAGCAACACAAGTGAGATGATGCAAGGGATGTGTCGCAGCAGCTCCATTTTTTGTCTGGTATCAAACTCGTTGTGTACTCTGGACAACTTGTCTGCGCTACAGCAGCTGCATCTCCCCCACCGTGATCGTTATCTCAGTGGTGCCATCTGATTGGTTGATCTCTCTCTCATGTTGCTGTTCGATACATGTGTGGTGATGGACCTTCTCAGGTGATGTCGACCTATGAGCGGAGGTACACGTACTGCGAACACAACATGCATGCATCCATCTTCCTCTTCCTGCAGGTGAGTTGAGAGCTGGATATCTCGTCCACATCTGCAGGGTAGGATTAAAGGAACACAATAATTGAACTGAACGAGATGTCATGGCTGGTGACTAAGTCTATTGGACCGCTACATTCGTGGTAGACGACAAGGATTGTTTCAACACCCACCCATTTGGCGGACCAACAACTGCAACAAGGCTCCCGATCTTTCTTTTTGGTTGTATCTCGGGTACTTGTATTTGTTTTTCAATTGTGTGGCCGAATATCACATCGTAGTGCGTGTAGAGCAGAGTAAGGTAACAACCGCAAGAGAAAGACAAGAAAGAGTGGGGAGCAAAAAACAAGTGACCCCTGTATGGTGTTACCCTGGCTGACGCGCCCATAGCACAATATTAGAAAGGTAGAAAGGATGACCAACTGAAGTCCAACATGATGGGGCGACAATAGCAAACCGCTGACGACAACAACGGGCGGCACACGGAAGCTACGGCGTCATGCATGATTATCTCCCAGCTCGGTCTGAAGGTATTTGCCGCGTGCTGCGTGCCTTGTGTCCACATGTTGGCCTCTTCACCACAGCAATAGCAGTCGTGCCCGCCGTTGGTTCTCGACTCTAATTTAATGTTTCTTTTTACGCCTCTATCGCTGCGTTTGTCAAGGCCGAGGGATCATGCCGTACTACTCATTGTATATCTCTTGCACGCTTGTCTACTGGCACCAGGCAGCCTTGGAGGTGAAAGCGGCCGCAGATACCTCGGGCAAGTTGATGTGCTGGAAGGGCCATTCGATGGGGTGCTACTTGCTTCTTAACGTGGTGGACAGGCTGCGGTGGAAGGGCGAGGACATGCAGGCTCTATTCAGGGAGGTCATCCTTGATGCCCCCGACGTGCCCACCTGGTTCTTCAGATCAATGGTCAAGGTAAATGGTAGAGCCCTGTCGCGTCACATGTGTTGCTCAGTATAGCGTGGCCGGTATGTAGAGACTCCTTGAAATCTGTATGGCAAGCTTTAGGCCACTACCACGGGAAGCGACCCTTTTTCACGGGCACTGTTTAGCTTTCGCAGGACAATGAGGCCACCCCAAATAATGATGACGTTCAGCCATGGTCCTCTCCAACCAGCCTAAGTCCTGTCCTCTACATGATGATGTACCAGCAGCTAGGCGTAGATGGCTGTTTTCGGCTGCACCAAGCGTGTCTTGTTGTGCCGGTTCTGTCACCGTTTTCACTTGAAGGTGCTTGCGGAGAACGGGGTGAACGTGGTGCACTACTTCAACCCGTTGGACAACGCCATCCAGGCCTCTTGCCACAGAAGGGCGTTGCAGAGACCAGTGCCTGGACAGGATGCTATCGTGACCCACCCGATCGTACAGGGTGTGCTTTGTGACAAGAGCTACAGGCAAGCACTTAGGGATGCATGCATGCGCCATCGTGGCCAGTTTGCCTTAACTCCCTCTCGTTTGTAGAGAAGTGGTGTCCATCATCGTTCTGCATTCTCACCGACACACGACTTGGAAGCCTGATACGGTTCTCTGCCGCGAAACTTGTGTTATCACGTCGCGACTGCACGCCGATGGGCATCACACTGACTCCCTTGATGCCTTTTTCGCGATCGCCCAGAGCTGTACTGCAGCAACCACCCTCCCTCTCGGTACCCACGCATTCATTAGCAGCTTGATCTTTTTGCCTTTCTGCCAGCAGACACGGTGGGTGGTGACGCTATTTTCCCCTCGAACCTGCCGACCAGCTATTTTTACCTGTAAACCTACATCCTGATCGTACACTAGCCTTGACCCGAGATCGACGTTTCTTGGACTGCGCCCCCCTACTGCTGCTGTACTCGTGTGCAGCTCAACGGGTATGAATCACGACTACGGTCGAGCGGATGGGCGCTGTTTGTTAGACCAGAGGGACTTCTTGGCAGGGGAGCCGCCGGATCAGCGGGTGCTCGAAGAGACCGTGACCGGCGAAGGTGCCGCATGTTGGCAGCTCAAGACATGGTAACACAACCCGTGTGTGTGTTGCTTGCATGCCGATGGTGAGGCGAAAGTGCGTATGTATTCGTGCTGTCGTGGTGTTGTACGGGACAGACGTGGGGCTGACGGTAAACGTCACATGGTTGATGAGTGCGGGGCGGACAAACCGACAAACCAAGTACATTCGTGTGGTGGGAACATGATTTGTATGACTGCCTTTCACTTGGGTCAAGCGCGTCTTGAGGCACGTTCTCCTAGAGGTACGTACGTCTGCATGCGTTGATGCCGCGTGCGGACGGCCCGAGAAAATACGCTGCTCGTAGCAACGTAACGTTGGTTGTTGCTTTACTTGCACCGCTCCCTTGCATGCGACCATCGTGACCTAGGCGCTTGGGCACGGCAAACGGTTGTTGGCAGCTCAAGACCATGCGTGTTTCTGTTTTCATCCGCGGGTGACCGAAGTAGCATTCTACGAGGACAGCAGTTTGGTGGGACGCCCGACGGTTGATGCGTGAAGCTGACGTATGCAATGCGCGGGGTCAGAAGAGAAAATTGGATTGTGTGACACGAATGTGACCCCGTGTACAATATTCATATCTGCGATACGACGAGAGTTTACTCGCGTGGTGAGTGGTGAGTTCACACTAGTGGCCACGGTGCTTGCTCTTGTGAAAGGATCGCGTTTTGGTGAGGGGATGATTGGGCGGGGATATGTGCCCTCCGTATTCCGTGTGTGTGTCGCGCTCTGTAGTTGATTGCATCCCTGCTGCATGTATATATTCTCTACAGTGCAACTGCTTGTAGTACACAACTTTGTAGCCGTGCTTCGAGACCTTGTGGGGTCCGGGGCATATGAAAACAGATCAAGCCCTGTAGATCCTGCTGAGTGTTTGCTCCTTGATCACTTGGGATGTGAAGCGTGCGTTTTTCTGGTGTTTGTTTAAGGACCTTCAGTACAGGTTCCCGTAGAGAGAACCGTACGTACCTAGGGTGTGATGCTGATTCGTGTATATATGTTTGTGCGCACCTCCAACCGTCGCAAGGTGTTAGTTGAGCGAGTCGAATTTAGTATTCTGGAGTGAGTGTCATGCATTGCATCTCTTGTATTCATACAGTAGACGTATGCGAACAACTCCCGTATCGTGTGCAGACAATGCGAGCAAGCACACTTCGTCTGGTCGTCCTACTCCCCTCAAGCCCTTCTCGTAGGGTAAAGGTCGATGTTTACGTTTTCCAAATCTACTCTCTGCTTGAAAGAACATGGTTGGTGGGCATGTTCTACTTCACCAGCGGGGCATTGTCTACTTCACCAGACTACTAGACATTTTGGTTGGCCACACATGCCAACTCTTGTAGGCTGACTCTTATGGCAACCGAAAGTTGGCCCGACGTATTTTTTTGGACTGGCATACCCCCACCCCCCTGATTTGCCACGGATTCGACTAAGAGACAGACCTCTCACCACATCATCACAGAGTTCTCCCTCCATGATGGCCGGATCGTCACCAGAACTTGAAGGCTGTACGCACCACACCTGTAGGCGTCTTTGAAGCTAGTGGTGACTGCTGTGGGTCTGTGTGTGCTGAGAAATGTCAATCCATGTGAGCAAAAGTAAGAGATCCGTGTGGAGAATCCGTCAACGATTCAATTCGATAGTGA